CAGGGCAACTTTGGCAGGTTTGCAATGGACATCCATTATGGCGCATCCCACATTATATTGTATGGATGACATTTTATTAATGTGCGACTTTTTGTCTAGTAAAAGTATTCCAGACCCGTGTAAGAGTGATGGGACTACTACCGTTTTATAAAGTCTATCACCGAAAGTGATTCTATTAACATTCAAGTGCTTATTCAGAATTGATGTCACATAGCCTTTTAACTTCTTTCCCTTAGGGACTATCAAATTCATAAGATGGATATGATCTTTTAATGATCTGTCAAATAGGACACCTAAGTATTTGTAAGTTTTTACCTCTGAAATTCTTAAGTCACCAAATGGCCACTTCTTCTCAAAATCAGTTTTTTGGCCTACAATGAGAATTTTAGACTTTTTCTCACTGAACCTGAATCCCCATTTGGTAGCAAAATCATTAGTTATTGTTAACAGACTTTTTAGTTGTTCTTCAGACTGAGCCATCAGGACTATGTCATCAGCAAACATGAGAAGTGGAATTATACGTTTTCATATATATATTTCATATACGTTTTCAATTTAAATCATTCTTATTCTTTTTTCAATCTGTTTTTTAAAAGTTGGATCATTGGTTTGGACGGAGGGGGGGGGGGGAGGGGACGGAGGGGGGGGAGTAATAATTCTATAAAGTGAAACAACTTCACACGAATTCTTGTATTTGAAAAATGAACTCATTAACTTAGTAAGAAACTGGATGATATACCCCTGGAGACTGAAAAATGGGGACATTTGGAGTAAAAGGACTTAAAGTCGCGAAATCATGTCTTATATACATATTGCTCCCCCCTCCGTCCCCTCCCCCCCTCCGTCCCAAATTTATTATTTTCGATTATTTTTTATTTCACATATGGAAACTTATTTTATAAATTCAGCAATGACATTAATTTAGTTATGATAACATCACTTACAAGTATTTATTACAGGTCGTGTAGTCCATTGTTGCTTGATTTATAGCAAAAACGTTGATTTGTGCCTGTTGATGGCCTTGCGCCTTTTTTAATAGATCTCATACCTTAGATGCGTATCGTTTCAGAAAAAATCCCAGAAAACCTAACATATTCTACCATACCGTGCGCCTATCCATTTAGCAATTCAATAGTAAACTTTTTTCTTGAAAAAATAAATCTTCCAGATTTGTTGAATTTCCTAGCAGAAATTGCCTGCTCCCCCCTCCGTCCCATAAGTTTTATTTTGTTTGTGGTGATACAAACCCGGATTGCAGCACATGCAGAGCATCGATTTCGTTGATATTTTTCATATTATTACATAAAAAATATGTTTGACACCAGCTTTTAAAAGAGCGATGCGAGATGTGTGTTACCCATGCAATGAAATTCTTTTTCTATGCATATACCATCTGTCTAATATTTGGTATCCTCCAACACACTGGTTAAATTAACATTGCCGATGCATCATTAGTTTAAGATCTCGCCAGAAAGTGCCCTTAAGGGTTACCTCTTGAATGAGAGACAATGAAAACATTAAACAAAATAATGTTATTTTTGTGGTTGATTATCTAAGTTTTGCTGTTCAATATTTTGTATCCTCCAAACATTATGATTTCATCAATGTACGATCAAACAATTATTTTCAGAAATCCAATGTAGTATTTAAACGATTGTTATATAATTCTCAATTATATCTAATTTGTTAGTAAATTTTGTTGAAAAGTTAGGATTTTAAGACAAAAATCCAATGTGGCCGCCTTAACATTTACCCGGAGTCCTGGGCTGCCAAAAACTAAGTAGAGATTTTTATATAAAGAATCATTCCTGAAAATAAATTTGAAATCGATCTGTCAACTGGTTCTCCAGGAAATATGTAGAGAAGACTTTACAGAGAAGATTTTAGGATGGAAAATCCAAAATGGTCACCTTAAAATTTACCCAGAATGCCGAAAAACTAAACTGTTCAAGATTTTCATACTTAGAATCATTCCTGAAAATTTGAAATTGATCCCTCAAATCGTTAACCTGAAAACGCGTAGACAAGACTTTGCAGACAAGATTTTAAGACGGAAAATCCAAGATGGCTGCTTTAACATTTACCCATAATGCCGAAAAATTATCAATTCTAGATTTTCATACAAAGAATCATCCCTGAAATTTTGAAATTGATCCCTCAAATGGTTATCCTGAAAATGAGTAGACAAGACTTTACACACGATTTTAAGACGGAAAATTCAAAATGGCCATCTTAAAAATTTTGCAGAATGCCGAAAAAGTATTAAATTCTAAATTTCTATATTAAGAAAGTAGTATTCTCACCATGATCCTTTGATCTTTCCATTGTCAATGATTAGTTGAACAAACAAAACTGTCCCGTTGGAGGTGGGGGGGGGGGGTGGTACCTTTTCTTAATTGTAAGAAATCAAACTTGCTTTGGACATGTTGGACTGGCAATTTAGTTATACTTAAAGTTGATATGTAGGAAGTAAAATATGTTTTATTTTCTAACCAGTTACATCGTCGGGGATAATCATTTCAAGATGTAATTTCTTGATGATGTTATACAGAATCACCTATTATTTTAGCATTTCTTCGAAGAGCTTACGTAATTTGTGGATCAATTCACTTTTACATAAAGTAACAGTAAAATAAGCTCATGAATAAAATCCAATATTCTAACACGAGTTCCTTCCAGTAAATATTCAATTTAACACTAGTTGTTTTTATTCCTTTTTGACATTATCATATTCTATATTATTTTGATATCATAAAACATTTCAAATTTAATCAAAAGTACAAAAAATGGCAGCCATATTTTTTGGTAAAGTCACAAGATTTTGTATTTGTTTTCCTCATATGTGAATGCATTTTCTGACTAAAGAGACACGTCAACGAAAACATTACATTTAAACGCATTTTTCATAACTATGAATTGGAGGTGCATGGATCCCCAAAGCTAGCATGAAGAGTGTGAAGTGAGACTAATTTTTGAAAGTTTCAGTAAACTTGCAACAGTCACTCATTTGCAAGAATCCAAAATTTCCACAAATCATCTAACCTTACCAAGGAACAACAAATGAGCACTTATTGCATTGTTAGAGTATAATAAAGCTCAAACCATATATAGTTTCTTATAAATATTTCATGTCCACCATTTTGTTTGCCGGAACTATACTTCTAAACTTCCTTATTAATCTTCAATCTTCAATCTTTAAGTTTTGTGATTACGCCAAGTGGCATGGATTATCACTTGTATATTTTATCTATTACAGTATAATTATCATGATAGATACATGATAGAGGTTTTATGAATGATAAACAATTGATACATGAATGAGGATTACTCTGGACTAAAAAAATGTCCCAGCAAACAAAATGGTGGACATGAAATATTTAGAATTCACAATGGTTTGAGCTTAATTATACTCTAACAATGCAAGAAGTATACATTTTCATGCTCCTTCGATGTTCCTTGGTAAGGTAAGATGATTTGTAGAAATGTTGGAGTAATACAAATAATACATAATGTAATAGTACAACGAAGCACCCCTACTCCTTGAAGTTTTCAAAAATTAACCCCACTTCACAGTTTTCATGTTAGCTTTAGTGACCCATAGACCTACAATTCATAGTTGTGAAAATAGGTTTATGTGTGATGACAACGCTGACCTGTTTCTTTAGTCATGTTTCTTTAGTCAATTCATATTCAAGGTTAACAGATTTGAAAACCATGCGTCTTTATCGAAAAAAATGTGGCTGCCATTTTTTGTAATTTTGTTTTATATGTCTCTCTTTTGATTTACTTAGCCTTCGCCTTAAAATGGTAAAAAGTTTGACTGATTGTTTTATGTTAGTCTCGGATTGTAGGTCAAGGCTCTGACGTATGAAATACGATTCATATAAATCACTAAAAATTTGCCACACATGAGCAGCTCTTAAGATCCCATAAGACCTTATGTTTGATTGGTAAGTTACCGGGAATTTCTGTAAACATCTCATAATTGATCTCATTATAAAGTTGTTTACTTAATTAGTTGTATACTTTGCGATTGTTAACACAATGGTTTAATTATAAAGGTAATTATTTAATTGTAACTTGCAAACAGAATGTAACTAATTTCTCACTGGAACTTATTGTATCATTGCCACACCTGGGCATCTCTTCGATACTTAAAGGCCCCATGCAAAGTATATGAAAATATGTTTTTATGATTCATTTAAAAAAAAATTGAAAAGTTGTCAGCTTTTTATTTTTCAATTATCCATCTTGATGTCATTTTTGGGTGCAATTAATATGTTTAACTTTCAAAATAAACCAATGTTGATTGTCTATAGGTTGAAAAGTGCATATTATGTTTTAAATATTACCACACCATTGGTTTCTATAACTTATTCTTTTCTCTGAATCAGTTTCATGCATTGATGAGTTCATTTCTCAAATATATGCCATATAATATTCACCCGTATCACAAATACCGCGCAACCATGAATGTATGCCATAGTGCGTCGAGTACTAATATATGAATCCTGGTTTGATTGAGAAAGTTTATTACGCGAGATTGGTGACTGATACTTCTGCTAAGTTAATATATGCGATACACAGTACTGTTGATTCAGTAATCATTATGATAATTTATAACGTTTTACTTGTTCGTTCAATTGATGTAATTGACAATTGCGTACTTCCGTATCGCGTTCTCATTGGTTAGTGTGTATGCCATATACCGCAGGTGAATCTGTCATACACCGCAAGTGAATATGCCATATTCGTTGCGGAATATGACATCTTTTTGTATCGTGTTTACCGCATAACACACGTCATATATGCATTGGTGTAAATTATCGTTTATAAAAGATACGAGTGGCCTCTAAAATTAAGTTTTAAATCTATTCACAATTTTTCGAACAAAAAGTCCTTCAAAAATAATTTGTTGAAATTAGAAAAAAGTTTCAAATATTACATTTTGATAGCATTGGATAAGACTACGATATACGCCAAATTGGTTTAAACTTTATATGGTGCCTTTAAATAAGCAGTGCATCAACTGTACGACTAAATACAAAGCCAATAAAAGGTGCGTTACAACACTAAACTTAAGTATTTGACCATGTCAGGATATGTGACAAACTTTATTGAATTATATTTAATGTATAAACAATGTTGATTCAGAATTACTTTTTCTGATTTAGCTCGTACACTGAAATGGCGTCGTTAAATGATGGATTTTCGGAAGATGACTTTCGTAAGGCCGATACTGGGCGATGCGGTTGTGTAACGAAGGAAGACTTCAAGAAAACAGTTGGAAAACACATCACATTTAATAGAAAGTGTTTACAATTGTCAATTCTGAAGAGATTGCCCTTTCTAAGTATCATGCGAGACTACTCTTTGAAAAGAGACCTACTGAAAGACATATTGGCAGGGCTTACGAATGGAATAATGCATGTTCCCCAAGGTGAGTAAATATTGCTTTATCATAAAGAGATTACTACACTATGCTCCGTAAAATTATGTGACGTGTAGCCAGGATCTAAAATGAGTTGAGGTAAAGTTGAATAGGTGAGGCAAAATTGAGTTGAGGCAATGTAAGACTATTAATTCACGGGTTCTATTGAAAAATGTCTGCATTTTTGGCTAGTCTATATCCAATAGACTGAATATCCTGAAAATTCAGTCTATTGATCATTATGTCCCTTCAGTGGAAAAAAACATGAGATTTTCAGCACAAAATTATCAATTTTAGGAAGCTTCACTTCCCAAGAATAAACATAATTACAATTCTTGAGTAGTAAGGTTCAATTTAATGCTATAAAAAGTAACACAGCAAATTGTCAATTGCTTATCCTGCCTCACGTCTGGCTAAGCTAATGACATTTTCCAGTTTTTACCTCAGAACTAACAGTTGATCGAGACTGAAAAATACGTCACACTTGATTTTTTGTTTTATTCTTTCAAAATCTTCTTCTAAATTATGCTCTCAAATACAATGTTCATCGTTAGAAATTACCTCTTGAAATGAATGTGATACACCAATGGTCTTACCTTAGCTCCAATGCGGGTTTACTGAATAAATAAACTGAAACAAGTGCTAACGTTTCCTCTGTGGTATTTTGTTTTTAAATATTGCCCAACCCATTAACATGCACTCCCCCCAGTTTTCTGCAAGTTAAAATGCTCAATTCTGCAAGTGAAATTAGTGAATTCTGCAAGAAGAAAGGGCTAATTCTGCAGAAATTCCGCGGATATTCACGGCATTTTTTTATATAATATAAATAACTGTTATTAATTTATGTCTTTGTTTAACTTTCTGACGAGAACCGAAAGAAAAACTAATGGTTTTCGAACCAGTAAACGGGAAAATATCGTGATAGTCAGGTAGTCAGTCACTACATACATGCTGCCATCTAACGGCAGAAATCAAACGATGGCGTTTAGAATTTTCACTTCGCATAATTTGGGTTATTTCTGCAAGGGATTTGACTGAAAACGTGTCAAATTGTTACAGGTAAGACTGACTTTTTAAACTTTTGGAAAATATATGGATTCTGCGGAAAATTCCGCGGAAATTGACCAAAATAGTTGATTCTGCAATTCCGCGGGCAGAGGCAAATTCCGTCCGCGCTCTGCAAACACAGAATCCTGGGGGCAGTGAACATGTGTGATGTAAGGAGGAAAATAGTAAGTTCGATTTATATAGTCAATTTTAATAGGGTTGTGACGTCAATAAAACCTAACTAGATAACAGCAACGCCAAGGCGTCGCAAATCCCATGGAACAGCCAAGACCACCATTTTTCAATATGGTCGCTTACTAGCCAAAGTGCCGCGCCAAAGTGTCATTGGAAAGTGTGAACATTCATGGTTGCGCGGTACTTGTGATACGGGTGAATATGCCATACTCACCTGCTGTATATGGCATATTCCGCAGGTGAGTATGCGATATTCCGCCGTGAATATGCGATACATTGATTTCAGTGAATACCCGATACTCACCTGCTGAATATGTCATACTCACTTGCGGAATATGACATATACCGCAGGTGAATATGGCATATGCCGCACGTGAAAACGTGATACAGAATTCTTGATTTGATTGGTTGCGAGAATCGACTCTAAATGTAAAACTACGCTGGATTACCAGGATTACCAGGATTATATGAATCCTTGATTGATTGATAGGGTTTTACTTGTTCGTTCAATCGATGCAATTGACAATTGCGTACTTCCGTATCGCATTCTCTCATTGGTTAGTGTGTATGCCATATACCACAGGTGAATCTGTCATACACCGCAAGTGAATATGCCATATTCGTTGCGGAATATGACATATATCTGTATCGTGTTTACCGCGTAACACTAGCCATTTTGGTAATCCAGCGTAGTTTAACATTTAGAGTCGATTCTCGCAACCAATCAAATCAAGGCTTTCTGTATCACGTTTTCACCTGCGGTATATGTCATTTTCACCTGCGGTATATGGCATATTCCGCAAGTGAGTATGACATATTCCGCAGGTGAGTATCGGGTATTCACTGAAACCAATGTATCGCATATTCACTGCGGAATATCGCATTCTCACCTGCGGAATATGCCATATACCGCAGGTGAGTATGGCATATTCACCCGTATTACAAATACCGCGCAACCATGAATGTATGTCATATACCGCGTAACAATCGGTTTCTATACATAACAGTTTAGTTAATAAGTGAGAAAAGAAACTATAAAGATCATACTGATGAAGGGATTTGGCTGATTCCACCCGGGAATCTAATTCAGCTGAATGCCGTCCATTGCCAGTGTGAAAGAAATGATGGTCCCCCAGGGATAATGGTCCCCTTTCTTAACGGCCCTTACTGGCCCTGATTGCGTATAAGATAATGAGGGAAAGAGTTGTATTTAGGTCACCATATAAATCAATGGATAGTAGGACCATAATTTGATAGGACCTCCTACCCTTTTACACCGGTAAGAAGATTTTGATGCCGACATTAGGTCAAATTAGTGCCGTTGTCGGTAATGCGGTATAACCTCCGACCAGAAGACCTCCGACCACTAGAAGTTACGTGGATAAGACCCAGCAAACCACGCAATGCACGTGTCAAATCTCGAAGATTCTCGTATCATTGAAAAACATGTTTTGATTTTTTGCAGGAATGGCGTTTGCGACATTAGCTGCGCTGCCTCCTGTGACTGGCCTCTACGTGTCCTTCTTCGTTCCACTTGTTTATTTCTTTTTTGGAACGTCACGGCACATATCTATAGGTAAGTATTTATATTTAGTTCCGTTTTTTATATTCTAGACATGAATGAGAAACATGCGATAAAGCTGAGTTTTATAATAACTGCATTCTTGGCGGAATTCTTGGGTGGCAGATACAACATAATACAAATTGATACAATAAATTCAGTGCAATACAATACGCACAATGCGATAAAATATAGATTAATACAAGACTTTGCAATACAATGCAAATTAATACAATTCTATGCAATACAATACAATACAAATTAATACAATACAATATAATGCAATACAATACAATTCAAATTAATACAACACAATGCAATACAATACAATGCAATACAATACAATGCAATAATTATCATTCTCGCCAGGAACCTCGGCGGTTGTATCATTACTGGTCGGAAACGTTGTCAGCCGATATGGGTCCCCTGTGCCTCCAGCCAACCAAACTGTTGTTAACATTACAACCCCTCCCACGGGGGGATTTACTGATGTGGAAACATTTCAAATCTCAGTAGCAGTCGGATTAGCCCTCCTAACGGGGTTAATTCAGGTATGTGTGTACGCTATAGTTGACGTTATTGCACTCCGATTGGTAACAGTAACCAAATAAAAAAACGCAATATGATAGATCAGTTTCACATTTTTCAACTTCTTAAAAAGTAGGCCGAGATCACACCGGAATAGCCTGACTACGGTAAAGTCAGATACCGTTGTCACAAATGGCGGACATAACCGTCGCTTCAACTGTTTAATTACTTGGTCCTCATGTCATGGGATTTTATCGTCGTTAATGCTCTTGTGATAATGTATCATATGAAATCCCATTTTCGATCAAATTGGGTCGTGAATCGCTACAATATAGCCTCTTCGATATCGTCAATGACAACGGAATCTGAATTTGAGTAATTTAGAAAGACAACGTCATAAGGTAATTACAGTGTCCGTTGTCCCGTATATCATTTTGATCTGTTAAATTAAAGACTTTATTTCGATGGTAGAACATTATCAACTGTACAATGAGTATTAAGACACTTTGATTGATTGTTGTTCCAAAGGAATTTAGTCTAGGTGCTCTATTAAACATACAGTTCATGAAAATCTAATTGAAGCGACGGTTATGTCTGCCATTTGTGACAACGGTATCTGACTTTACCGTAGTCAGGCTAATCCGGGGTGGAGATAAGGATTTCCGCCTCAGATTTAAAAAAGTCTACTTTTTAGGCCACCTTACATTCTCTTTTTAGGTGGGCATGTGGTTATTTCACCTTGGCTTTATCACTGCGTACTTATCCGACGCCGTTCTCAGTGGATTCACCACCGCTGCGGGGTTCCATGTTCTAACGAGTCAAGTTAGTACTGTCTTCGGCCTAACTATTGGGAGATACTCAGGCGCATGGAAACTCATCTATGTAAGCTCACGAACCATATTTTGTGCACTAAAGAGCCACTGTTAATGATCCAAAATATTTTTAATTTATATTGTTTAATTTAAACATGGGCATCAAATATCTTCTACTTCAGTATGATATACCCATACTTTTAGAAGAGAACTCCTATTACTGCAAATTCCAACGTGCGGTGGCCATTTTGGATTTTTAAATTGTATTGAACCTGCTGTTATATTGTAATGTTTGCAGACCTACAGAGACATTGTATTGAACATTGTCAAGACTAATGTTGCTACTCTCATCACTAGTATCATTTGCATCGTTGTACTCCTCATCGTGAAAGACTTTATCAATGGCAATCCACGCATAAAGGCTAAGATGAAAATACCTATTCCTATAGAATTATTTGTAGTAAGTAAGATTTTAATTTATCAAAATCTTCACTTTTTGAGGAATATTACACTTCTACATAAAAGTATTGCATTCATTTGGGTGTCATTTCTTTTTTGAGGATGTAACTTGCATATCTGATTTTTTCATAAAATATCAAGATTATAATTTTAAATCCTTTCCAGATCACAATAAGATCACACGCTGATTATACTGTACCTGCTAGTAGAACTAGATACATTTCTGTTTGGTTTTCTATTGCAGGTCATCATTGGTACCATCGTTTCCTTCTTTACCAAACTAAATTTTCACTATGGCGTGGCAATAGTCGGAGTCATTCCTCAAGGGTATGATTCTCTTTAACTCATTCAATACTGGGGCAAAAAGCACTATAATACTGACGATATTTTGAAAATTGCCATATATGGTACCTCTGAAATAATATATATTGTATATACATGGGCATACATACATAGTGTTATATATCATTTTAAAGCATATGATATACTCTTTCAGAATGAATAGTTTTTTAAGTCCCATTTTATAAGAAGCTAGTTTAATGGTATATACTACCCTGCGCACAGAGTCTACTTATAAGACGAAGCTCGCTTTTTAAGAAGTCGAACGAATGCAAAGGGTAGGTACATGTAGGTACATACACGTATGTACTTTGTCGTAATATAATATTTACAATGGTACTTCACCAAACTATTTAAACTAAAACCAAGAGAAATTAAGAAATTACTGGAAAATAGATACATACAATTTTGGGAAACAAAAATAAAATAAAATAATGGTAAATTGAGGTTTTAGAAAATAATAAAAGCAAAATGGAACAAGGAACCCTACTTGGATTTAATCAAAAATGAAATAGACAGAAATAACTTGACAAAGCTAAGAATTAGCGCACATAAATTAGAAATCGAAACAGTAGCCTTATTCATAAAGCCAACGTAGGACTTACGTCAACGTATCGTATTACGGAAACTTATTTTGGTATTCATAAAGCAAACGTAACTTTACGATGAACGTAAAGTCCTGCGGATCTTACAAAATATTTACGTCAAGTATCTTCACCGTGTAACTTTACGTCCAGCCTTAAAAACACTATTTATTCGTACGTTTAGTATTCAATTACCATGAGATTTTGTGAAACACTTGTTTTAGATATAATACGTAATGTTAAAATGATTTGTCATTTGCTTGACATCTTCAAGTTTCTAGCTGGTTCCAAAGACAGGTACGAAAATGTCATCAATTTCTAGGTGTCCAAGCGTTAACAGCACCGTATCTTTCATATACGTTCAACGTAAATTATTTTCAAATGCCAATGGTCATCATTACGTAATAGAAAGAAAGAACAAACGCATGTAAGCAAAGATGGCTTTTGTGGTAGATGTGCGCATCTTTGCAGTAAGACGGTCTCTTAGACGAGAGCGATTGCTTAGGGATCGTAGCAATCCCCTCGAAATTTTTGATGATAGGGAGGTCCTTACGAGGTTTAGATTACCGAGGCATTTAATTTTGGAGTAGCCAGCAATTGGTGACCAGGGGTTCGATTTTTTATGTATCCACAAATCTCCCCCTTCATCGGTGTACCTCACATAAAAGCATTTTTTTGTATTTGTCATACATACAATTTACACCCCTCCAAAAGTTTGGCAACAATTTGATTTTCTATACTGAAATAGTTTTTGGTGAATTTTTTACTGAAAGATATTGAAATCTGGTAGCAAAATCATACATTTTATATAACAATCGTTTAATTGTTCAATGAAATCCAAATCAAGGGTTAGCATACATTGAGACAATTTTGTTAAGGGCAAATTACAACATATCTCTAAGGAACATATTTTTAACGAGCTACCATTGAAAAAGTCGTCATTCCCAATTCATCATTCAAAGATATATTATGTCAAATTCTGGCATGCTATTCCCACACTTTTAGATGATTTTTGAGAAGAATCCAAATCAAAATAATTTTATCTGCCATTTCATTTTGTAATAGAGGAGTTCATAATGACCTCATGAACTTACAGTTAGTTTCTGAATACTAGTATATTCAAAAGCAAATGTTTTTGAAGATATGATACTTATTTAATCATGGCGCACAATAAAAGTCGTAATGGCTGCACGAATACTCTCAATTGGTACTGACGATAGAAGTGACAGATGACAAATAGTATATCAGGAAGCAATGCATATTGGTACATTACGTGATTTTTCTAATATTTTTTATGATGAACTTTTCCCCTAAGTGACACATTTACGATTCTAGGCCGAATTTCGACAATTTAAGCGATATGAGTCAAGAAAATAGTGTTACCTTTCTATTAGGATGGGTCCAGGTGCCAAAAATAACTGATCCATGGATATCATTTTGAAATTTGGATGCAAGAAATATTTTTTCGGAGCCATGTTTTTTTACGACTCATAACAGGAAATAGATTATCTAAATGAAAACTGAATTTACATCATCAATCCTGGTTTTGACTTTAAAATTTACCGAAATAGATATTTAAATATTATTAAAATGATTATTGACTATTTTTTTATTAATCTTATGCAGTGATTCGACTGTCTTCTAAAATTTATAACATAGCTTTAGAATTACAGTGTTATTTCATTATGCCAGTGTGGCCTAATGGAGTATGGCGCTGGACTAAGGTTTTGATAGTTTGAATCCAGCTGTCTGTGGTTCGATTCCCGGTGTAAAAGGGCAGGAGGTCCTTTCAAATTATGGTCCTACTCTCCATTGATTTATATGGTGACTTTTTTTTATTAATCTTATGCAGTATCAGTCGGTAGAGCATCAGTCTTTGGATCCAAGGGTCGTAGGTTCGATTCCCACACGGGGCATTGCACAATGCTCTTACACTATGCTCGTTAGTTAGTTATTCCCCTGCGGGCATTCGGGTCATTACAATTGCAATTGTGCACTATTAAGGAACGATGTGAATTCTTGGGTTATGAACCGTCGTTTATCTATCGAGAGATGGAGAAGTAGAGGCTTCTGTATGTGTCCTGAAACGTTTGAGTTCATCACCTCAACCCGTTTGCTTTTTCTTTTCATTTTTCAAGTCTACCGACCCCATCTGTGCCAAACTTGGGACAGGCTGGAGAGTATGTTCCTGATGCACTCGTTATTGCCATAGTTGGGTATGCTGTGCACATTGCCATGGCAAAATTATTTGCAAAGAAACATGGCTATGAAGTAGATCCAAATCAGGTTAGTTTTATCTTTGAGAAGGCTCGAATTCTGCACTAATTTTGAAGAAGCGCAACGATGCGTGATGTTGTTACTTCTGATGGGGGGGGGGGGGGTCAATTAAGGGTCACATGTCTTAATCGCAAACCTATTTTTCATCGATGTCCTAGTCATGCGCCAACTTGTTTAATTTATTTGAGGATATTTCATGACTTTCAAGATTGTTTCACATTTTAGGAGCTGCTAGCAAATGGATTGGCAAATACGTCATGTAGTTTCTTTCTTTGTTTTCCCTGCACAACTTCGATGTCCAGATCTATTGTTTTGGAGTCAGCCGGTGGAGCGACGCAGGTATCGTATACTTTCTTTGTTAAATAGTTTGGAGGAGCCATTCTACATTTAGCTTATGATGTCTTGAAACATGCTTTTAGATGTTGAGTCTATGATACATTGATATGGTAGTGTGATTATGCAATATATACAGAATATCACATCATTTTGAGTGATATCATTTTTATCGCCGAGTTGATATCAAATATCAACACGAGTGAGCGAAGAAATTATGTGATATTGGGTTTATCCCATGATTACGATCACCTTGTGATATAGTTCGTCATAAATACAATTTTTTAATCGTTATTTAGCAGCTTTCTAATCAAATTATATACACAATCGTAATTTAATACACCAATGAAACTTAAAGAGAATAGATTAACGGACCTATTTTCTCAAAAGAGAATAAATTATCTGACCTAATTTCCAACAATATTGTGGCGCGAAATGCAAATGTGATATCATACGGATATGCGTGAGATAAACGATATCACACGCATATGAGTTTGATAAACGATTTTCTGGAAAATATCACACGGATTTCAATGATATCAGAAATATCAATTGCTGTTATTGTACAGATAACACATTAATCGTGGGATAAATTAGAATACTTACATCCAAGGTGTAGTCTAGTGTGCCAAAACGTCCATATAATCTATTTGGTGATAATCTTTTTAATAATGCATTTATTTTGACATTTGTGTCAGTTGGGTAATCATATTATAATTGATATAAGAAGGTTGGTTCTGGTTGTGGATTTAATAATCACAGACACTCAATTTAAGTATTTTTTGAATATTCACAATACAGGGTGGGCCAAAAAACCACCCCCTAGCCAATATTCCTGATAAATATTTATTTTTTTACAAACACACCAACAATGATATATCATTTTAAAGATAATTTAATTTGCAACAAAATGATATAAAGGAGAACAATTTTCAACAACCCTATCTAAAGATATAACCAACTATGTAGCATGGGGGTAAAAAACACCAATTTTCATCGATTTTACGAACAATAGCATATTTCACCAAATTTTACTGTTCAGTTAGGAATTGCATCATTGTCATGAGACTTTCACAACTAGATATTATATTTACAATATATACAATTTATTTTCAATACATACAATTTATTTACAATATATACAATTTATTTCTCGTTCAAAAAATCTCGTTCAATTATTTAGTATTAATGATGTAGGGTGTATAAATATGACCATCTTTTGCTCCCTGGATATGTAATGTATGTTTACGAAATTGATTTTGTTGATTTCTAAATCTACTAGTCCCCGTGCTCTTCACTCTTGTCTGATATCAATTGTGTGTTTGTCACGGGCTGGGATGTCAGTTGCGCTATGTCAGACGGACACTAGTGACATAAATCGGGACTGTGGGAACGTCATTGCTGTTTTTGCTATGTGGGACAGTTTATAAATAGTTGAAATATATGATCACGATGAAGGCACTTTAGCAATCATTTTAGCGTCAGTACTTTTATGATCCAGTTCACAATCATTATCGCCATCTGGGCCATCGTTGCACAGTGTGAGAAGATCAGCGGTATTTAAGGTACTTTCAACCATCTCTAGCAGCCTTGTAAGTTCTTTTCTCAGCTCACCTGAAATCAAACACATCGTCTTACCAGCGATGACTAATATCATTTTTATTTGACGTCATACCAATAAGACTAAATACGTAGCAACAGTATCCATAAACAAAATACTTGAATTCTGATCTGCTTTCAGTTTAAGAATTATATTCATTGAAAAGTATTATTATATTATCTATACAATTTTATAAATTTGATAAATCATGGGTAGTATAGTATACCATGTCCCAAAGTGCGCTTGTACATTGTAATATACAAAACAAACCGGTGTAAGGCCCCTCACTGCCCCATAATACTATGTGCTAGTCACGATATGACGTAGACATACATTTTGGAAATGATAGTGAAATGATTTACCTATTTCGTTTTGCGCTCGGTTCACTGCCTCTCGTTCCATCTCCAACTCCCTTTCCTTTTGATCTTTCTCTTTTCTCAGGGCATCTGGAAGCGTGAATTGTTTAATGCAATGGCTATTTACTTGAATTATCTAATATGGGCCTACAGCTAGCCTAGTGCATATCGTTAACCGATACATGATTTAAATGGTTTAGGTATATTTTGTGTTATTTGTAAGACAAATTATAATTTTGAATTCCGTAGAGATGACTCGTTGTATCTATTTGAATGGCCTACCTCTTTCAGCGACTGCCTCTGCTAACCTATTCGCCACTACGAAAGTGAATACATTCTCAGCTGAAAAATAAATAATCTCATTAATTTATTTTATCTTTATAAATTATCTGATGGAAACTGAACTGGCGAAGTTGGTGAATAAAAAAAAGTTCGAGAAGAGAACATCAGATCCATAAAAAGAGTATTGTAAATAGCTTACTTTGGCAATGCTCTGGAATTGACAAATTGGTTCCAACTCCCTTGCTACTTGTCTGTTTCTTTGAGAATAACATTTTCAGTTGTCTCCATGCTTTCTGTACCCTCTTGATTGCCATTTTTATTTGATCTTGTTAAATCTTTGATAAGAATTAAAAATTGCTTTGGCCTCTTTGAATCCTAATTTTTCATCTTATATTTATGTTATTTTAATATCCTTGACGATATCATCGTCTCTGATTGGTAGAAACTATAATGCATACTATGACGCTATTGATAAAACTCTAATTTCCTATGACGTCACATTATGTTTGAATTTTTGGAAAATGACGTCATACAAAATTCACTCTAGCAACCATTACAAGTTGTGTAAACACTACTTTGTATTCAACCACAGTCAAATCCAATGGATATGTTATCAGATACAGACGAGAGGCCCGAATTGTACGGTTCTAAAAATGTCATTGCGCCAAATTCCTGAAGTCCAGGCAATATCCAATTTACTGTTTATTACGTCATAGGCCTAGCCTGATGATCTTAACGGGGCTAAAATGTCTGAATATTAGTCAGTCATACGAGAAAATATAAGCTAATAGGGGACTGTCATATTTTGCTAGTCTTACTCAAAAATAGTAACATCAAATATCAACTTGAAACCGAAGGTGCATTCAAACTCCGTTGAGTTTTCAAAAACCTCCCAAGAAATAATCGTGCCGATTTGGGATCGATTGCATATTTGATTGCTGCCTCCGCTGCAAAAAATAGCATTGAAATCCACGCATTATTCAAAATTGTTTACCAAAATATATCGACGTTTTGGCTCACCCTGTATGTCTTATCAGCCCCTTATGAGGAAATTACCAATTTTGATTTCACCTTGCATGTTTTTTAATACAATGTATAATGAGTGAAGGTATGGTATGTAGATACAGGAAGGTATGTAGATATTTCTAGATGTATATGTATTGCAAAATTCTTAATCTCTTTCTCTAGTTTTGCTATTCCACATTCCTCTAAAATAACACTCAACGCTCTCAAATACGCTCTCTGATATTGACTTATATGTATATCAGTGTAATATTGATAGTTTTAATTTGTTTTTTTAGTTGTGTGCTGTTGTGTCATCCGGATTGCTCCTGATTGTATTATATGTTCTAGGGGAATACTTGTATCATCTACCAAAGGTATTTAATGAATTAGAACGGATATCTAAGCTTGTGTTCGCGAATGCAACTAACGCCTGTCGGCTAGCGGATTGACCTACTGTTTTATGGGTATCTCATTTAAATATGAATTGAATAGTGGCAGGTACTATTCATATGTAAATGAGTTACCAATAAAATAGTATGTTAATCCGGTAGCCGACGGGCGTTAGTTGCATCCGCGAATACAACCTTTGAGAATGAAATGTTAGAATTAACAATTTTCAAATATCGTACTATATATTGACTTCCTTTAAATCATTATTTTTCAGTATGAAAGCATTATTAGTAACATATCTTATTACATAGGAATAATTAAAAATTTAAGATTCCGAAATTGAAAATGTAAGATTCCGAAATGTCCTTATTCAATAGGATTGAAGGTTGAATTGAATTGAAAAAGCATAAACAAACGTGAATACAACGAAGGAGAACTACGCAATCGCTTATTCTACACGTAACGGTCACATTCAAACTTTCTAAATCAAGCAATTATTGCAAACGTATATGTCTATTGTAAGTAAATACGATGTAATAGAGGACATTGACATCATGATATACCATGACATCTCATTTCTTCTCAGCCTTGAGTGAAACAGAAAGATGCTATGAGTATCAGAATGGGACATTGATATAATTTCTGATTTTGTTGTCATTGTTTGCAGTGCATTTTAGCTTCCATAGTGATCGTAGCGATCAAGAATATGTTCAAACAATTTACTGAGCTGAAACGACTGTGGTATTTCTCAAAAATTGACGCCGTAAGTGATTTTAATATAAAATACTGTAACAGACCCGTCTGTGACAAGCCCGTAGCTCTAGATTTTGCCCAGGGGGAGTCACTTTTCAAAAGTTTCCTATGACCTAGGAGCCCAAATCACTCAGAATGGTGAAAACTCCATGATTTTGAAAAAGGGTGATTTCCCTCGAACCTCTCGACCCCCCTCCCCCTTCTGGCTACGGGCCTGGATGATATTATAATTTATCAAGTAATTCGTATGTCAATATGATTAGACTTGATTAGATATGATTAGATTTTTGATTTGATGTGACTCTAAAAACTATAAAAGATGTTCATAATGTCAGTTATTACTGCACCTGTTAAGAAAAGGCTGTCTAGCTATCTACTTTTTCATTTATTCTAATTTAGATGTTTTACTTAGTGATAAATAATGTTTTCTGTTACGTGTCATGACTCATCATAAAATGCTTATCATATGCTTCTCTCACGTTTAGGTTGTTTGGTTCGTGTCATGGCTAGCTACCATGCTACTTGATACAGATCTTGGACTTCTTGTGGGTGCAATTTTTTGCCTCGTCACGTTTTTGTTTAGAGTACAATGGTAAATAGCAATTTTGGAGGCACTTTTCAGAAACCCCCTTAAATTTATCTGACCCCGTAACATTTAGCTAATCCGTGGTTGATTCACTGGTCTATAAATCATTCTTGAAAAGTATTTTTTCTTTTCATACTAGGCTACATGTCAAAATTCAGAAACAATTCGTTTTTATGAATATTAATGGATAATAATACATTTCAACAAATGTTCCCACGGTGCAGGGATTGGGTTTAATCGTCATATAAACAAAGGAAGCGTTGGCCAAATATTTTATAAAAAAATTATAAATACGAGAAAATATCTTCCTTTTGAAATCCTTGTAGTTTAATGTCATTGTATATTCGTTAGTTAATCATTCCATCATTTGTATAATCATGTTTTCATATCATGTGATTCAGGCCAAACACCTATTTGATGGGAAAAATAGATGGCACTAATATTTACAGAGATATAAAAGATTGTGAAAAGGTAAACATGGATTTTGTTTGTTGTTTTCAATCATGGAATAAATTTACCATTTTTCAAGACTGAAACAAATAATCCTTACGTATAATGCTTTGGATCGATTCATCTTTTGTAGGCATCTGGCAGAACCGACATACACATATTTAGACTGAATGGATCGCTAAGTTTCATAAACCGAGAGCAATTCCAGCGACACCTATACTCTGACACAGGATTCAACCCTGCCCTGGTGAAAATACAACAGAAATTGAAAGCAAAAAACAAGGATTTACAATTAAAAAAGTATGGAACACCTGATGTTGTTGAAAATGGCCATGCAAATGAAGGCTTCCATGCAAATGAGATCAATGCAGAAGAAACAAAAACTAATCCGATTGAAGTAATAAGGCATGAACAATACACAAGTCATGATGATGATTATAAGCATTCTTTGACCCACATTGTACTGGATTGTTCTACAATGGCGTTTATAGACTCCGCTGGTATCACTGTTCTTAATTTGGTAAATATCTTTTAGTTCCCTACAACTACGGAATATGTCAAAAATTCAGGGTTTTACAATAAAAGAATAGATGTATAATATATAAATTATATGTGCCAGGATAAGATTTAAAATAATCAGATCTGATAGTGCATATGTTGTACCTTTTCCTATTCTCATATTAAATTTCGAAAGGATTGTCCCACAATTGTTATACTATGTATTGTAGGTAATAGAGGAGTACAAAGAAACGGGAGTAGGTGTTATATTGGCTGGATGTACAGGTAGGTTTGTCATCATATCTAGATATAGACAAGTCAAAACAATTCAAAAATATTCCATCTATTATAAATTAAGGAAGTTATTTAAACATTTACAGGGATGCATTTTTGGGTCATCCTGTGAGATGCTATTGGAATGGAAAGTAAATCCACCATCTCTCTGTTTACGAATCTAGACTATTATTTTGATGTTTTGCAAGTTGACCCCATAATATTTCAGGCTCTGTAAGGAAAATGTTAGTCCAACAAGGATTCTTCGAGAAACACGGCACAACTATCCTGTATGCAACTGCTGAGCATGCCGTGAAAGACATTGTAGAATCACGAAATGACATTGGAATAATATCAGACATCTTAGAGACAAACAATACTCAGGTAACAGCGCCATCTTTCACATCATTTGCATGTTCAGTAGGGGTAACTGTGAAACAATCACTAATTCATCATTACAGGAGTACTTAGAATTTCACTCAGTGAGGTACTGCTTATAATATTTTGGCTGAAAAGTTGTTTTTGCCTCGCGTAGGGAACTAATAGATCGCCGACTCTTCCACTCTGTCTGTTTACCGTCCGTCTGTCCATCAACAATATTTGGACAAACTACCATTCCTTTGAATTAATGCTTTGTCAATTTTATGGGATCAGTTATTCTACAGTACTGCAGTAGTAATATCCATCATTGGTCTCAAATCGTCTAGTCGTTTGACCGGCTCAAATTTTGGGTCATTTTATGTTTTTCCAGTCTTTCCCTCCTTGATTATAATAAAACTGTTTTTCATTCTATTTCAGTTATGAACCATTGTAATCACCAGATGGAAGAACGTATACAATACTTTAGGATTGATCTGCTGGAAATTACGATTGCCTAAACAACAATGCAATATCGTCTGGTCGAACTGATTGCAAAAAGAAGGACTTTTAAATATTTGTTCGTGTAGAAAATATTTGAAAGCACTTGAACGCATGTTTGGTCGAAATGCGAAAGTGAAGGACTTTAAATATGATTTATTTCTTAATGTGTTTTAATAGTACATTTGCTATAGTTTTATACTCATATTTTAGACATGCATTAAAAATCTGAATCAGCATGACTACACCATTCATTTCATTCGGTTTTGGCTAATATGATATGATGGCCAGATATTCAGAAATACTTCATACAGAAAAAAACTGAGACTTTTAGTATTTAATAAGAAAACACGTTTTATATTTTATGTCAAATACATGTATTAAAGCATTGAAAATGTTAATAAATGTAGATTTTATAAATTACTCACTAAGAGATTTTAATAAATAAAGGTAAACTACTGCAAAACAATAGACTCGTTTGAATAAGAGTTTGATAAAACAGAATTTCTGAAACATCGTCAAAGCTTTGATAAAATTCACAATTTTGCTAAAATTCCGGATGAAGTAGTTTTAAACTGTATATTTCACTGGAGAAAGGATGACTGGGAATTGACTTGAAACTGTCCACGAACATGTTGAAACATGACTTCTGTGGCGTTAGTGCATTTTGAGAGAGAATTTGAAGATGAAAATATTTTTAAACAAGGATTATACATTAGTCTGTGTTTGTTCTAGATGTCTTAGCTTTTTGCTAAATGTCTTTAAAGGTAGTTTCATCGCCGGGTTTCATCTACCTTTAAATACATGTGATGAATGGGGTTCATGTTTTCAGAACATGTGAACACAAGACCTAACATTAAAATAACCAGCAAAATGTCACCACCTGCCCTTTGTTACAGACGCCGAACGCCAATTACCGCCCACAAAAAAGTTGGGAGACTATTAACAACATGTAACCACTTGAAAATATTGAATTTCATTGTGTAAAATATGAAAGTATCTTTATTTTTCTATGAATAAAGCAGATGACAGAATATACAAGTCATTTCAAGCATAATAAATGTAGGACAATATGTATAATGCTGTGAAAATAGCTGCCTGGAACCCATCCTGAAAATGACGGATTCATGTATAACTTGATTAACATTCGCTGCACCATTTTAGTCTTTCAGTGATGGTTTCAATTGATTTCCATAACCACATTGACATTAGATGCACCACTTTCTATCAACATGATTGGTTATGTAAATGTTGTCATTTGAATTGCTCATGGTAGCTGAACCCTCAATCACCATAGCAACCATAACTTTTTCTAATGTAAAGATTAATGCACATTAAAACCTGTCTAATTCGAACGCCTCTGGGACCAGTCAGTCGAAAGTGTTTAGATTAGGTGATTGTTCACATTTTAAGGTTTTATCAACAAGTAGGTCAATTGAAGATAACAAACTTGGGTCTGAGAAAAAGTGTTCATATTGAGAAGTGTTTGGATTAGAGAGGTGTTTGGATTTACAGGTTTTACTGTAGCATAGCATTTGGATAGAAATGACAACTATATATCCTGAAGAAAATTGATTTAAAAAACACTCCTCTTAGAAATTCAGTATTTCAGTAAAACAGGTCTATCTGATACTAAATACCTCTCTAATCTAAACATCTGTCAATGTTTATTATTTTTTTAATTTGCCACAGACTAATATGTTAAAATGCCTGAAAATGTGAACAACTACCAATCCAAACACTCTTGGCTGGTACAAGTGGTGTTTGGTGTTATATATGTTTTACTTAAGTGTTACTTTAATTCTTGGACGGCTGGACACAATATATTCATCATTAATTTCTGGTACATTTTGTCAATTTTTTCAGAATTGCTGAATATAGTTTTACTGTTTCTAACTTTGCACCTCTTAGTATTACTAACATTGCATTCATTCAACTTTGCTTCTCAAAAGAGAGCTTCGTCTTCAGGTAGTTTATAACTCGACTCTGTGCGCAGGGCACACTAACAATAAGTACAAACAATTTCCCCTATACTACCATACTCCCTCCCATATTATAGATGTAATCTTGCATTCAGCCTTTTGACAAAACCCTACCCATTTACCTCCCTGCGGTTGGATGTTGAGAGGTGGGGCACATGGAATTAGCAAGGCTACAGTGGTTATACTTATCTGAGACCAAACGGTTATTCTGGATTTCTGGAGATTTTGGCGATGTTCAGTTTGGTGTTCTTTAAATTTTTCTATATTAATTGGGGCATCAAATTGTCAACAAATACAAAATTTAGTAGATTCTAAACAACTGATTTGAAAATTCCAAAATATGAAAAACTTATCCACAAAATATAGCCAATAAGCTAAATCTAAGCGAATCAAAATGGTCCAATATGAACATACTCGTATATGTGATATGCTGTAAGGATTTCTGAATTATTATGTTGATATTATACATGTGCTCCAAGATGTCTCGAGTCTCTTGACTAACATTGAATCAACTTCATTTAGTCACTGAAATTTCATGGTATGCGTAGAATTCGTAATAATAGACATGTAGCTTACACTTAGAATGGCACCAAATGACTATGCTGGTATGAGATTCTAAAAGAACGACATCAAAACACTATAGCAATCAACATGCCACTACAGCAGTAAAATTTTGGGTGAATTTGGACATCACCTTTGTTAACAAATTAAAGTGTAACGAATGTTACAAAACCCAGACAGTCTAAAACTGTGGTTATAAAGTTTGTTGTATAGAAATAGTTGAATGCTTTTTCAACAAAAATAGATAGTAAAAAAGTTCACACATCACCTGAGTTGGTTTGAAAACCTGATTTGCTAGATTTTAGTCTGAAATTGTACCTATATAGTATATATCTCCATTTTGGGGTTTTCTTGCTGATAAATATTATTTCAAAGCTAAGTGAGCATTGTTTTAGCCTGTGAACACCCAAAGAGCAGATCAACTGAATTTATACAAATTTTTCATATTTCTCGAGAGGATAGTGCTCTCTGTAATTCGCAACGTGTTCTTTCATTTCATTGAACTGCTCTTGTAGATGGGGTGGCATGGTGTCGTAAACATCCTCAAACATGTATTCAGGATTTGGTCGGATCCGCTTGTCGGCTTTATGGAAGGCATCAAGAACCTGAAAAGAATAAAAATAAGAGGAATTGGTGCAAAAACTAGACAAGACATTAACATGCAAAATATCATCACTTGCCATTTGATGCAGACCCTGAACGCCGACCACCAAACACAGATTGTGAAGCATCTTCTACAGAAAAGTTGGAGACTACAATAATATGTCATGACTTTTGGTGGTGACATAAAAGTTGAAGTCAACCCTCAAACAACAAATATTTGCAAATTGAACTGGGAAAATATTCTTGCAAAGCATTTTACAATAAAATTCTTTCATGCCTCTTTTACATTTGTACATGATTTTGAGGAGATTCAGAACTTAGCTATTGTTAGGTTGACTATTGCAAGTCACTATGAATCCGCTAAATTAAAACCTCACCAAAAAAGTCTTGAATGACTTGCAAGAAAATATCTTAGATGACCAAATCTCAAGTGCATTCTGACCTGATTAAAATACATTAAAACAAGGCACTAACATGACGGTCAATTTCTAGCAAGTTGAAAAAAGACCTTTTGACCTTTTTTTGACCTTGTGGAGGTCATTGAAGGTCAAATATCAAGTCAGATTTGAACTTCTGATAACTTGTAGATGATTTTGAAAAAAATTGGTTAATTTGAAGCAAGTTGAAAAAAGACCCTTTTGACCTTTTTGGACCTTGAAAACATAATAACAATTCAGATACGTTTAATTGCTCTCAGTGGTGGCAATGTCATATTTGAAAACATACTTTATGGGGATTCTCAATAAAAATATGGTTTATGCAAGATTCTAATATGATACATGACGTCACAAAAGCTAGAAAAATTGATTTACTTGTCTATATTGGAGTATGTATGACCACTAAAATTTATAAATGCAAATAGTTGATTTTCTTGTGTGTCAAATTAGAATCGTAACAAAGACCTCGATTTTATGATTTATGTCAAATACATGACCTCAAATTTTATTCTGCCCATTGCCAAAGACCTCAATCGATACAGGATTTCGGTCTTTTAACTTTGAACAGAATAAAAATTTCAGTCATATATTACGCCATTTATCATAAAATCTCAGTCTTTATTCCTTAAATAATTCAATAACATCATCCTGGTTTGCTTTTATTCCTGTTTTATGGGGCTTCATGTTTTTTTTAAATGTTGCTCTGGGTAAATTCTTTCATCTCACCATTTTTCTAGTTTCTTTTTGATAAGATTTGTCTGTGTCATCGCACCACCAGCCCTGATTGGTCATATAGTGACGGAGACGGTTGATTGGATTGTCTCTCTCTTCCCACGTCCTTACTTCATCCGTTGACCTATAGGCGGAGCTGTCGTCTGATGTACTATGGTGACCAACTCTAAGATATAATAAAAAATTTGGATTAATTATAAATCTTGCTATTATTTTGAAATAGGGCAAAATCTAACAAAAGACTCCCTTTTCATTAAATGTAAGTTAAACTTTACCAAGAATGCTGAAAAAGTATGTTACCAAAGACAATGAATGTGAATATAATATTAAATATTAACACATTTACATCAGATGTGTACTTTGTGTACATACACCAAAAGGCAAAAATAAGTATTTACAGTTCTATCTAAATTAATTTTAAAGCGTTTAAAACGTTTGAATCAAAAACATAATCAAATACTAGATTGAACTTTTTCATATTCACAACTTGAGAACCAAATACACTCTTTTTAAAAATATGGAATCTCACATAATTTTTAATTTCAATTATTTACCTTCTAGCATATTAAAAGTTTTAACAAGCATAAAACAGAAGCATGTGTACTAAACTTAAAAAGCCCTTGGTTACTAAGATTGACAGATACATTGCATATCAGTTAAAGAATTTCTCACAAAAACTCAAACTTGAAAAATAAGAGCACCAAATGTTGTATATAAGATAGAAATATGCCAAAAACCCTGCAAAATATGAAAAATACTCTGTTGTTCAAGAGTTTAGTTAATACAACATGCCTTTTCATCTTCTTTTCATTATTTTTAAAATTGCTACCTATATGTCATTGCTTCAATAAGAACTGGTCTATTGTGTCCGACTGCTACTTCCCTGGCTGCCTTAGTAACATTATACACTGCAAAGGTGTCATTGCCATCAACCCTCACTGATGCCATGCCATAACCGCTGCCTCTAGATGCTACAATAAATCTTACTTTAAACCACATGCTATGCTCTTGTGCAAATGTACACCCTCAAAATGCAATCTGATTTTCGACGCCGTTTCAGTGCCGTTTCGGCACCAAATGGACTGACAAGTCCGGTAGCAAATTTTGGTGTCGAAAGGTTTCGGTGCCAGAACGGTGTCGAAACGGTGCCGGAACAGTACCAGATTTTTTTGATGCCGTAATGGCGTCAAATTATATTGGCTGTGTAATATGACATGCACATATCCCGCTGGCCCTTGCATAATTTGGTAAGGTAGGGCAAAAGGTGGGGTAGAATAGGGTGGGGTAGAGTAAAGTGGTGGGGTCCATCGGCAGTTAGATTCAAATAGAGTAGATCAGTACAAGGTCTTACATATGGCCTATTTAATATTGTTCCTAGGAAATATTTAAATCCAATTTCGTAGTGATTTAGGTACAGCTAAATTAATAATCCAGGTGACAATGAAAGATGGCATCCTGTGTGTATGTTTTAGGTATTATGGGCCTTTACTGAGCCTACATAATATGCAATACATGGACAGAGCACTTCATACATCGGGGTCTAAAAGTCAAAACATCACTAATAGAAATCATAGTGAGCATAAAAAGATCATTTAGAAGCATCGAATCAATGGCAAAATCTGAATAATTGAAATATTCACACGTGGACATCACATAACGCACTTCCAATTTTATGATCGATGATTTTTTCAATCAAAAAATATTTATATGAATTTATCCGATATCTGTTGAACTATGGTATGTATACTTGTGTTAATTGTTAAAATACAAAATAGGTAGGGTAAAGAATATGTAAAAGCTGTTTGATCTTGTCCCAGAAGTAATATTTTGTTACTTTTATAGCATAGAATTCCTTTAAGTGAAACAATTATGACACATGTAGGTAGGTGGCATACAGTGCTAGAATTTAAGAGTGGGCATTCCAGCAAGGGGAAGCAAAGGATAAAGGGATATTGACTTTTGAGTGAATTTTTGTTTTTATTTTCAAAATATCCCAAATGTTCGCTTTTTAATAAAAATGATCTGATTTTTTAAACTTTCTTGTCAATGGCAATAATTCTAAAAATTGGACTTTCCTTTTCAATTCTAATAAATTTTGGTACTTCAAATTACTTTCCCATTTGATCACTTGATATCCCAGACATTATTTCAGACAAAAAATTTGGGTCTGGAACAGATGCCTCTAACATTTACTCTCTATCCGATACTGCCATTTTAACGCTAAAAATAAACTGAATTGTGCAATTTTATTGAAATTGATGAAATCACACATAAGCCTAAAAGTCTATACACATTCATGTTCGTGTAGCATTGAAAAGCTTTGTTTTTTAATTTGAGCTAGATGAAATACATGTATAGTGTTTATAGACATTAGATTTTACCCTGGTGAAGTTCCATGCATTTCAAATTAAACACACATGTCAGTGTTCTCTTAAAAGATTTTTTTTCAAGTGGGTTCAAGATTCTCATTTTCACAATTCAGACCAAAATTGATCAAATTTTTTTATGATTTCTCTCATTTTTATGTGGGTGCAGTTGAATTTTCAGGTGGGTACAAGCCTATTTTTAAAATTTCACTGCATCACTACTGTACATGCACTTAAACTTTGTACTGTATGTGCGAGTCAATGTGCAGTCAACTCATGACCATGATCCAGGAAGTCTATGAGAAAATGTAACTGAAGACCAAATAAAGATGAGAAACTGAGATGTATGTTAACATACCTATTCCATCCCCTCTATACTGGTCAGTTGTAGGTGTCGAGATTGCATATCCATTATTGCGGCTGAAATATAACGAATTTGCATTAAGGAGGGACATGGTTAATCACAATGCAAGTAAAATGTTACTATTCTAGTATCAACAAGCCTAAAACAAATCTTCGCAAAAATATATACAGAATATCTGATCATTTTGAGTAATATAATTCTTATCAATGAGTTGGTATCATCAATATCATTCGCTCATTCGTGTTGATATTTGAAAATCTATGACGCAATAAAATGATATCACAAGGAATGATCTGATATTGGATTTATCCCAGGATTACAAAAACTGAAAAAAGGGAAATTCATTTATCATACGGATGTGCGACTGATAAAAAATATCAGTAACTGTGCAGTTGATAAACGATACCAGCTATATATGAGGCTGATAAACGATTTTCAGAAAAATATCAAATGTATCTCCATAACATCAGAAATATCACTGGGTGTTATTGTACAGATAATACAATAATATTGGATAATATGATTATACTACATTAAATTCTATTGTCTTTCTTTATTGATGTTGCCATGGTTACGTCATGGAAGATGATAACATCCACATCGAAGTTGTTAAATATTCAATAAAAGTCAATATGACCTTAGAAATATTTTCTATCAAAATAAAAAGATCAATATGATTTCTGTGAAGAAAAATGTTTTCATTTGATATTTTTGGCATATTTAATGTTATATGATAACATGATGATCATGTTGTCCATTATCTAACACAACATGAAAACAATCCAGTAATGTGCTGCCATAATGTTAGTCTTCAATGCAACTGAATGTTGCGAGAGATATCGCAATTCAAGACAATTTACACAATTAGTATGGATTTAATACAATGTCAAAATTATCACTGGTATTTCACACAGATATCCAATGACAAATTAAATTAAATGTGAAGTATTTGCCATTACAACAATAAATATTTGTTTATAGAATAGAAGAAGTTAAATCATCTTCACAATACAATCTCTATTTTTCAGATTTTTATTTTGGTTAGTGAGAAAAAAAGAAGTCAGTAATTTTGGAAAAAATGCAACTGTTACAAGATCTTTAAAAATGAATTTTTACCAAAAGAATATAACAGGGCATTCCAGAGTGGCTGCAAAGTTGAAGGCAGGATGTGCATCTCCCTCTGATGCTGCCCCATCTCCAAAGTAACATACCACGCAACGTCCATTCTGGGCTCGTTTGAATGCATATGCAGCCCCTGCAGCTGGAAAAATCATGAGTATTCCAATGTATACAGTTAAACCTGTATCCTCCAAACACTATTAGGACTGGCCAAAAGTGTTCAGATTAACAGGTGTTCACATTTCAAAGTTTTTCTATCACAGATCAAAATATGGGACTGACAACAGTGTTCTCATTGAGTGGTGTTAGAACATCAGAGGTATCTCAATATACAGATTTTATTCATATGTATAGAGCTACTATAGTTTGATAAAACTAATTATGCCCAGAAGATAGAAATTACTGAAAAAATTCAAGTCAGTTAAAATTCAAATAAACTCCCAAAAAAGTAAAAGTAAACAATACATGCATGTATTTGTAAACTGTCCTTGAGGGGTGAACATTTTTTACAATGTTATGAAATTAACAATATTTACCCTGTCCCTAAGAAGTAAACACAAAATTGATCAAGTACATGTACCCCCAAAAAATAATATTTACCCTGTGGAAACTGTGTACCCAATGGTGAGGACATAGGGACAAAGTTCAACTCCTTAGATCCATAATGCACTGGCATACTGCGGCCTTTCAGCATATCATCAGCATTGGAATAACACTGAGACATAGCTTGGTAGGGTGTGTAGCCTCGCCATGTTAACACACCTAGAAAATAACAAACATGGATCCATAATGCACTGGCATACTGCGGCCTTTCAGCATATCATCAGCATTGGAATAACACTGGGACATAGCCTGGTAGGGTGTGTAGCCTCGCCATGTTAACACACCTAGAAAATAACAAATTCAAATGAAGCCTCGCCATGTTAACACACCTAGAAATTAACAAATTAAATGTAGCCTTGTCTGATGTTACAACACAATAGAAATTTAAAAACACCAAGAAATAAACAATTAAAGGTAGCTTCGCTGTGTTAACACACATGGAAATTACTAGGAGTTCTGTATTTTGTTGTAATGATTCAGTCAAGATTGATATTTTTATTTCATATATTTTACAAGTTAGACTACGCTATAATTTTGTATTGAAGCAAGCTCAGACTGTGATAAGAATTATGGTTAGTCAACATTTGTGGCTATGCGTTGATTAGTCTTGTAATCAACCACATCCTATAAGTGCTCCCACTCCATCTAAAACCTTTATGCATCTATAGGGAGTGACAAAATTGTAAGCAAAATGTATAATTAACTTACACTCTATTCCTTACTACCTCAAATCGAATATTCACCAAATGGATTATAAGAAGTTATGTTTTGTTTAGCTTGCATATCTGATTCTCTCTTATAATCACGCAATCCAATTAATCCATTGAGAAACCCGTGAGAACAATGCTTGGCTCACCATTAGTCAACATATTGTTCCATATAAGGTCATATTGACAGGGAAAATACAAGAGGAGCTCACCCTACCTCAAACAAATATTAAACTGTCTCCCTATTGCATATCTTTTACATTCCTATCCCTATTGCATAATAAGTCATGAAGCCAAGCACCATGGAATTTTAATTAATAGGAAAGTGTTTTGTAAAATGTTATACCTGCTTTCCTGTATTGACCAAACACCATGGAAGTTTAATGAATAGGAAAGTGTTTTGTAATACCTGCTTTCCTGTATTGACCAAACACCATGGAAGTTTAATAAATAGGAAAGTGTTTTGTAAAATGTTGTACCTGCTTCCATGTATTGACCAAACACCATGGAAGTTTAATGAATAGGAAAGTGTTTTGTAAAATGTTGTACCTGCTTTCCTGTATTGACCAAACACCATGGGGTTTAATGAATAGGAAAGTGTTTTGTAAAATGTTGTACCTGCTTCTCTGTATTGCCCAAACACCATGGAAGTTTAATGAATAGGAAAGTGTTTTGTAAAATGTTATACCTGCTTCCCTGTATTGACCCAACACCATGGAAGTTTAAAGAATGGGAATGTGTTTTGTAAAATGTTGTACCTGCTTCCATGTAGTGACCAAACACCATGGAAGTTTAATGAATAGGAAAGTATTTTGTAAAATGTTGTACCTGCTTCCCTGTATTGACCAAACACCAGGTCATCATCATTCAAAGCTGCAGAGGAACCTGTCTGTGCCCCTTCTTCACCAAAGTTAGTCATGTAGAAAGATATTCTCCCCTGACGCTGGGAGTCGTACATTATTTTATCCATTATTTTTAATGTGACCATGTTTTTGTACATCTTCTTCACCTTGTCTTCATCCAGCTAAAACAGAGAAACTTAAATTGTTGTAATTATAATTCAAATGCTTTTTCTTGTTATTTCCACATTTTCAAGGAGGGTTGTAAAAGTATTATGTATTAATATAATATTGTCCTTTGGACTTTCTCATAATCAATTCTATAAATGCACTATTTATAGGGCACCTAATGGTGGAGCCATTTCCCCGAAAATGAGGCAAAAGAAGGAACTGTCTGAACAAATGCTGTAAATTAATACAAGCATGGACCCTTATAGTGGAATGGATTGGTTCAGATGAATGACAGTTTTCATCTGTCTGACAAAGTGAAAAATATTAAGAAATTGAATACATCAAACGTCAATCAATCCACAAGGACACACATTTGATTTATCAGCAATGAAACAATAGTAACTCTACCTTTGGATCTTGGGACGGATCAAGTATCTTTCCCTTCTTATCCATAAGTCTGTAAACAGGCATTGGTTTATCATTCTCTGGAAAGTTAAAGTCCATGTCTAGTGTATATTCAGCAGTCCTTATCCCAGGGTATTGTGGGCTATCATCTAAGTGAGCCAGACTTGGATCTACACCCGTTGGTTGGCCTTGACCAGAGGACTGACCAAACTAAAAGCAAATCATTCAAAATTAGAATTCCCCTTTTCATGAACAAATGTCTTGCGATCTGAAACAGATGATCAAATCCTCTGCTACATGTAAGGGCTGGTGTGAAAAAAGTCACTCCACTTCAGGGAAGGATCCAACCCACAACCTCCTGATAACACCTTGATCCTTCATCAGCCAGTATTTGAAAATGTCCACCATCAACTTCAGGAAGTATTTCAAATTACATGTACATTACGAGCATTACCAAGTGAAGTTACATCCAGCATCTTTGTATAAAAAACTGGATGTACATACCTTGCAATCTCACTTTGGTAATGTACATGGAAATAGTTTCTGAAGTTGATTGCGGACATTTTGAAATTTTTGAAAAATCGAATCATTAATATTTTAAGGCTATAAATATGGTCGGTCTTTAACATGATATGGTCGGTCTTTTACACGTTTTCTTCGAACCCTGTTTTGAGGCTACCAATGGAAAACAACGACTGGCCGGTGGTCGGTATTTTTCATAAACCCATTTTTGCACAATTGTTAAGGTAACGCTTAAGTTAATCAAAAGTACAAAAAAATGGCAGGCATATTTTTTTGACTAAGTCACTAGATTTTGTTTTCTGTTTTCCTTATATGTGAATGCATTTCCTGACCTAAAAGAGACATGTCAAAGAAAGCTTCACATTTAAACACATTTTTTTAAACGATGAATTGAAGGTGCATGGGTCCCTAAAGCTAGCATGGAGACAGTGAAGTGAGGACAACTTTTTAAAATTTCAAGGAGTAGGATTGCAATGGAGACACATTTGTAAGACTCCAAAATTTCCACAAATCATCTTACCTTACCAAGGAACACTGAAGGAGCATTAAAATGTGTATTTCATACATTGTTAGAGTATAATAAAGCTCAAACCAAAGTAAATTCTAAATATTTCATGTCAACCATTTTGTTTGCTTGGACTATTTTCTAGTCCAAAATAATCCTCACTCATGTATCCATTGTTTACATTTGAAAAACATCAATTATGTATCTATCATGATTATTATACTGTTATATATAAAGTATACTAGTGATAATCCATGCCACTTGGTGAAGTCACAAAAACTTGTAAGAGGATTACAGGAAGTCTAGAAGTAGTTCCGGCAAGAAAAATGGTGGACATGAAATATTTATCAGAAACTATGGTTTGAGCTTTATCATACTCTTAACAATGCAAGAAGAGCACATTTTCATGCTCCCTCGATGTTCCTTGGTAAGGTAAGATGATTTGTGGAAATTTTGGATTCTTGCAAATGTTTGACTGTTGCAAGGCTACTCCTTCAAACTTTCAAAAATTAGCCTCATTTCACGGTCTTAATGTTAGCTTTGGGGACCCATGCACCTCCAATTCATAGTTATAAAAAATGCGTTTAAAAGTGAAGTTTTCTTGACTTGTCTCTTTAGTCAGGAAATGCATTCACATATAAGGAAAACAGAACACGAAATTGTGTGACTTTGTCAAAAATATATGGCTGCCATTTTTTTGTACATTTCATTAAGTTAACGGTTACCTTAACCAAACTAACATAAAAATATTAGACTAACAACAACTAAAATTCTGAAGTAATGAAGGAGGAATGATGGTTGCATATCTATAGACTTTGGGAAATCTCCTCATCTGATTGCCAAATGAGATTGAGATGTGATTTATCATCTGTAAAAATTTGAAGTGAGTATTTAGCTTTTTCGTGCTGACTTTGCACCATTATATTCTGCTTGAGGTTAATACCATACTTACATTGGACGATGTGCATATTGGTGCAATTGCAACCAATTCCTGACTAGATATTTTCGAAGAAATACTAAAGAAATTCCAAATACACTTTCTAAAGATGACCGCCATTTTGAATGATCACGTGACGTGAAATAAAAAATCTTAATTTCTTAGGTTTATCAAAATACGTCCTTTTTGAGCTTTTCAAATTAATGATTCTCAGAAGATCCTCTAAGTATAACAAAATATTTCATTTTGAAGCACATTCTTTACCGAAATATTAACGAATTTAGCAAAATATACAAAAATTATATTGGTACAAATCGTGGTCATGTGACTTGTAAGGTCAGCTGACCTAATTCTGAAATCTAATTGGTTCATAAATTGTCAACATATATGGATAAAATTATGGAATCCATCTCGAAAAATCTCCTGGAATAAGTTGGATTAATTACAAAGTTAGACTATTTGGATTTTACTTGAAGGTGTACATATTATGCTGACTGCACAAGGTAGGATATAGAATTGTTATTTTAACCACATCTTGTGTATTTACTGAGATATCGAGCTGTAAATGTAGCCCATAGAATTCATTGATTCTGAGTCTGACTGAGACAGAAAGCTGCAGCAGAAATGATGAGATCTATTTTCCAATATCTTTGGTATCTCTTTAGCAAGGGATTTCTTATACCATTAAGTTCTTTCATTGAAGACATTGAAGCAAGAGATACAGATTATGATCTTGATCTTAGGGTCAAGGTTTTCCAGAGAAGGCCATGGCCTATTTTCACCTCATCTTCAGACTACATTGCAAATACTACGGCTTTGTATAAAAAACCTCCTACCTCATACCCACCTACCCACATACGTGGGACATGATACAGTCTTTGAAGGGTTCGATCTTAGTTTATTAAATCTTACTACTTTTTGCAAGGCCTGACTTCGTCGCTAAGATGCTAAATATAAGAGTTAGCTGACGTTTGGGAGTCTGACTTACCTTCTAAAGGTTAGAACCCGAATCTTAATGAAACCATATCACCTTTGTTCCGTCAACCATGGAGCATTTGCCACAACATCCAAGAGGTAAATCATGGACCGAGAAAATGAATGATTTCCTTGTAAGTTCCGGAAGTTTCAATATGAAAAATTACCGAACATATATGAAAACCGAATATTTGTTCGTTGTTTTCACGATTTACAGGTTCGTATGTTCTTCAATGTTTTGGTCTAAATTATAAAGCATCACCAACAGGTCTTACTCTATTAATCGACTAATACAGCAGACGGCTCATATTTCTACGTAGCATTTCGTTCAGACAAATAGTGGGACTGTAGATCACGCAGTTTCGTTCGTTGCGTACTTCACTCGAAATTGGTAATTTTATATTGGCTACTTCACTTAGCTTGGCGGATGTAGAACATTGCTTAATATTCTTTTGCCATTCTTTTAATTTTCACACCAGACATGCTTGGTTGACACGTCAACAAAGTAAAGTTCAAGGGTCAATGCGTTCAGCGGTGGCGGTAGGCATATATTTTTGTGAGTCATCATGACTCAGGTAGTTTCAAAAAAGTGAGTCACAAGAAAAAAAGTTGAGTCAAAGCTATAAAAGTGTTTTTCTTGAGTAAAAATGCATACAAAATGTAGAAACCACATACAAAATCTATTTTTTGATTTTGTGCATACCTTTTTATGTCCCCACCACATAGTGTGGGGCCATATTGTCGGCCTAGGCGCGTCCGTCTGTCTGTCCGTACGTCCGTCTGTCCGTCCGTCCGTCTGTCCGTACGTCCGGGAGTTTTCTCCAAAACCGCTACAGATATCACCTTCAAATTTTCAGGGATAACTTATGAGTGCATACAGATGTGGATGAAAAAATTTTAACTCGATACCTACTTCCTGTCGGCCATTTTGAAGTCAAATGCTAAAATCCTTGTCTGCAAACTTTAAGAAAAACGACTTCAAAGTTGCTTTTAAAACTTTAACATCTTGTTCAGCTCACTTCATTCTAGATCTGATTAGGTTTTGGACCTGTTAGCTCAGTCATGTCAGCCATTTTGAATGTCTTAAGAAAAGTTAGCGCTCGATAATACTTTGAATCATATTGAATGGTGTTTTTGACTTTTCATACTTTAACTATTTAGTAGCTTTATAAATAATTTCAGATGTACTTTGTTGTAAAAGCCTATGTTATTGTTAACAGTAGTTATATGTGATAATTTTGTAAGAAGAAATCAGCAAAAACACATAATCACTTTTTTATTGTCGGCCATTTTGGATTTTCCGTCCTAAAATCTTGTCTGTGAAGTCTTGTCTACGTGTTTTCAGGTGAACCGTTTGGTGGATCAATTTCAAATTTTCAGGGATGATTCTTAGTATAAAAATCTAGATCTGATTTGTTTTTTGGCATTCTGGGTAAATGTCAAGGCAGCCATTTTGGATTTTCTGTCCTAAAATCTTGTCTGTAAAGTCTTGTCTACGCGTTTTCAGGTGAACCGTTTGGTAGATCAATTTCAAATTTTCAGAGATGATTCTTAGTATGAAAATGTAGAACTGATTAGTTTTTTGGCAATCAGGGCAAATGTCAAGGCAGCCATTTTGGATTTTCTGTCCTAAAATCTTGTCTGTAAAGTCTTGTCTATGCATTTCCAGGTGAACCGTTCTGTAGATCAATTTCAAATTTTTAGGGATGATTCTTAGTATGAAAATCTAGATCTGATTAGTTTTTTGGCATTCTGGATAAATGTCAAGGCAGCCATTTTGGATTTTCCGTCTTAAAATCTTGCCTGTAAAGTCTTGTCTATGCGTTTTTAGGTGAACCGTTTGGTAGATCAATTTCAAATTTTCAGGGATGATTCTTAGTGTGAAAATCTACATCTGATTAGTTTTTTGGCATTCTGTGTAAATGTCATGGCAGCCATTTTGGATTTTCTGTCCTAAAATCTTGTCTGTAAAGTCTTGTCTACGTGTTTTCAGGTGAACCATTTGGTAGATCGATGTCATATTTTCAGGGATGATTCTTAGTATGAAAATCTAGGAACAGATTCGTTTTTTGACATTCTGGGTAAATGTCAAGGCAGCCATTTTGCATTTTCCATCCTAAAATCTTGTCTGTAAAGTCTTGTTTACATGTTTTCTAGTTAACTGTGTGACGGATCAATTAAAAATTTTCAGGGGTGGTTCTTAGTTTGAAAATCTAGAACTGACTAATTTTTGGCATTCTGGGTAAATTTTAAGGTGGCCATTTTGGATTTTCCGTCCTCAAATTGTGTTGGTAAAGTCTTGTCTACTCATTTTCAGGATAACCATTTGGTGGGATCACCCATTGGTGGGGACATTTTGTACACATTTGTGTTCTTGTATTGTACTCTTATAGCACATTAACAATTAATTAATTAGGCAATTGCAAGAAAAATGTCACTATTAATCATCTGATTATCTGGTCCAGCGAGTCATGGGTGTGAATGGAGTGGGAGAGGAGTTTCTCCCTGTGTGGAGTTACACAAATTGGGGTCAAAGCGTTTCATGTTGAAATTCAACATTTTTGCAATAATTCCAAAGTCTAAAACGGCAATATAAGTCCGACCACAATACTGGGCATCATTTAAATTGAATACGGTAGAATCTTGTATTTACAGCTGATCAAATGAAACCGAAAGTAGCTTTGTTTTCATACCTAATTTATCATCATTACCCCCCTTAATGTGCCATCGACTGGATTTTCATGTGCCCATTATCTATCTTCATAGGATCAGCTTCAGATCTAGTGAATCGAAGATCTTAACTTGAGGGAGTTAATTGAAAATACTTGGTGAAAACTTACGATAGATCGGTCACTGTGAGCACCATTGATAAACCTACTGCGCATTACATCTGCGCATGCTGATGAAGGGGACGGCTCAAGGAAACTTGCTAACTTAGCGAAGGAATTTTGCGAACTTGCGAAGGAAACTAAAGGTTCGTAAATCTAGCGTGTGAACATTCAAGGGAAGATTTTATGCGGTAATTTAGATAAATATACGATCACTAAAATCCTTAGAAGGGAGTATGAAATTAATAAATTATTGTTCAATGTTATGTTCGTTTTATTGCATTTTTGATACGCCCCTAGCAACGTGCTTCACGAGATAAACAAATCGAGGGATCGATCAATGTTTTCAAGTTTATCATTGAATCTGAATCACAGGGCTTTAAAAATTATAAAAAAATACCGAAATGAGAAAATGATCGGTAGGAAGGAGGCTCGATTGCGCTGAACGAAATGTTAGATTTCCGGAATTAGCAAAATTATAAATTTGATCAATCACGTATAGGGATCAATTTAACCAAGTAGTCTACCAAGCGGGTATTTTGCATGTGAAACAAACGTGCGTCAGAAAGACTCGGTAGACAATGAATATTTGCGTCAGAGTTGCAAAAATGTGAGTAAAAAACGTAAAAAATTGCGTTAACGCCACCTCTGGCGTTATTTCGTGATAACTACAACGCCTTCCCGAAAGTCAACATTGATGAAAAATGAAAAAGTCGGAAAAGCATAATTTCTATCAAATGCTATGTTTATGCATCATCATCGACGCAACAAAGGTGATATGATTTCATTAAGATTCGGGTTCTAACCTTTAGAAGGTAAGTCAGACTCCCAAACGTCAGCTAACTCTTATATTTAGCATGTTAGCGACGAAGTCAGGCCTTGCAAAAAGTAGTAGTTCATGATGAATTATAGATGCATTTGTAACGACCCTTGATAGCAAGTTGCTACTACATCCCAGCTGGGTTCGATTCCTTCTTGGGGCATCAAATTTAGCTTTTCTTTCAATTTCTTTATCTGGCTTGTTGGACCTATGCTCGCGGTCGTTAGTTATTTATTCCCCCGGGACGCCCTCGGGTCATTACACATTAAAATGCATCCATGTGCCTTTATTTATGGATCTGTCATCTGTCTAGTCATAAAATAAAGCCGGAATTGTAGAAATGTTAATAATTTGAGCTATTTTGAGATTTAATAATCTTTAAAATTGAACCCTTCAATGACTGTATCATGTTCCACGTAGGTGGGTAGGTGGGTATGAGGTAGGAGGTTTTTTATACAAAGCCAAATACTACAACTGCAATCTGTGCTTTTTTACTGTATAATACGTGTAAATGTATTCCTAAGCAGTAAC